AATCACAATGTTACGCTCACAAGCGCTCGGTCAGCCGGCTCATGGCACGAGCTGAATGAAGTGGTGACAAGACACAAAAACAAAAAATTGACCTCAAAGATCACTGTACCAACCTGTTGCCACGTCATTTCGAAACAGATTGTGATATTACGAGAAATCTGGCCTTTGGGCAACAGGTTGGGAGCGTCTAACTTTGAACAGACAAAATGTTGAAATTCTACGTTCATATCACATTCTTTTTTCTGTCACCAAGTGTATCCACCTGCGATTGGCACTTTGACATTCAGGCGTCATAAAATATGGTGAGTGTTACTGCAGAGTTTTAAAAACAGTTTTCGGCCGTTTCGTGTGATTTTTTGCTACTGTGGTCAAGACCCCCAGATGTCCATCTACATCATACTACCAACATCATTCGAGGCCCAGCTCCTTTGTGTAAGAAAAGCAATAGCTTTGAATTCNGAGATTCGGTTGATTCTCCCGCGAAAACCAAATTGATTTGTTAATGACCGTTCTGTTCTGTTTCTTTAATATTTGGAATCGTCAAAAATATGTATCTCCATGAAGTTTCGAATCCACGACCTCCCGATTATTAATTTGGACAGAATAGTCCGGCTACAAGCGGTTGAACAGCAATGTGATTGGCTCATAGCTAGGCAGGACATTGCAGCACTCATCCTTCAGTCACGTGGTCATCAACTGACTGGCTTTCTTAGTGAGGCCTTCCCATCTTATGAAATTACTCTTCCTCTGAGCTACTTATTTTTTGTTGGTAGCATGAGGGGATTGAGGAATGTTCAACTGAAATTTCTACCAGTACTTAGAACAGACACAGTTGAAGTCTGAATCCAACTCACTTCGTTTTCGACTGCGTGATTTACGCTCAAGAAAAAGACCTGGCAATAGGGCCATCAATATCCCCGGGCTTGATAAACAGCTTTACGGCAAATTTCAAACAGAAAGTTTTAAACGGGTTTTCGGATTCGCCTTAAAGTAAGTGAAGTTGCAATTATCTTAATAGTCTAAATGCCTCCATTAAATTTTTCCGTCGTTAGAGTAAACTTCGGACGCACCACACTTCTTAGACTGTATGGAAGATAAGGTTGTCAGGTAAGTAAAAAACACTGCGTACCATTACCAAATTTTAGTAAGGGTTATTTCGAACTTTCCCTCCGTCCACCACAAAGCAAAGTTAGCTAATATTGCCTTCTTGATATCTGGCCGGATAGGGACCCTATTCACACAAGGAGCTGATCATGCAGCAACCCAAGATGAAGTAAAGAACACACTTCAATAGAGTAGATACCTAGCCAGTTTGCTTAGGCTTTACTCAAGAAGGATTGTGACTTGTGGCAAAAACACAGAGGAGGGTTGGGAACGTCGCTATTCCAGTCAAACCATAGACGTGAAAAGTCTTTCGAGGGAACCTAAAATCGGTTAGTATGTGGGAAGACGTCCAGAAAGGAACGACTCAGCGCTCTGCGCTGATGCCATTG